GGAGGCCGAGCTGAAGGACATCACCCAGAAACACACGCAGGTGAGGAAAACTCGTACCTCTACCCCCCACAGCTCCTTCTGTAGTCCCTCTACCTCTATCTCTATCTCACCACTGACTCTGATCAGGGTTTCTCCTCTGGATAGCTTATTGTCATAGTGATGAGAAATGGAATATTGGGTCTACTCTGTAAGTCGCTTTGGAGAAAAGCGTCTGACAAATGCAGAAACATAAACATAAACATGTGGGGGCAGGCCTGCTCCAGCTTGGCTGTATTCCCCTCCTGCTACCCTCCGTGAGCTGCTTCCTCTTCAGACGCTCAGCAAGTAAGTGATGCTCCAGATAAGATTAGCTCTCCTCACACTGGCTCCACAGGCAGGGTGAGGAAAGGGTGAATGAGCCCTGGCCTTGTGTCACAGATTTAGCAGCGTAAGGCTAGCACCCTGTCAGAAAAGCAGAAGATTCACATTTCAGGCAGCTCGCCTTTCATAGTCCGCTATCAAGATATTCCAAAAGGTCAGTCTCTGAGAGGGAGAGGCCTGATGATGACATGCCATCCGCTGACTGTCTCTTTGACACTCATATTTATACTCTTGATCAGGATTTGGTTCAGGACCTGGTGATGTGATGGAAAAGAGGCCACACTGAGCACGGAGCCTTGTGCTTTTAGGGTTGTCACAATACTAAAATGTTCAACTCGATACCGATACTCAGGAAAATACTCGATACTCGATACCATTTTCGATACCACAAGGATAAAAACAAAGACCCCAAAAATTAACTGAATTTTGACAGGTTAGTGTCTTTCATTTCAAACTGACCTGTTACTGATGTTATGGTGACTGGTGGCCCGCATTAATGACCCTAACCCTAACCCTAACCCTGACCCTCCACCCTTCATAATTGTGAGAAATAAATATTGTTTGGTTAAACTTGTTTGGACTTATTGTACAAACCTATTTAACATCCACTATTTTAACATCATATTATGGATAGAGTTTAATTAAGTGTTTGAAAGATTAATTTCACTATTTTTAAATTATTGTCTATATTGCCATGAAGCAATTAGGATTTTCTTGCCTGGGATCTTCCTATTGGTGACGTAATGAAAATGGCCGACTTCATGTGGGCGGACTTGGATATGTACTTGATTAATTTTAGCATGTTGTTATTAGCTATTGGCCGCAGCTAGCAGTGCAAGACTAACGTCTTGTTAATGATCATAAACAACGTAAATAAATACATAAATAAATCTGAGAGAAGGGGGGTGGTATCGATACTTTTTTAAATGAGTATCGTATCCGGATACAACATTTTAGTATCCATACTTTTGACAACCCTAGGTGCTTTTATAAAGCAGGTAGACATTTTTCTGTCTTTCTGGCTCAGCTGCATTGCTGAGCAGCTCTGGGATGGAGCAGGGCCCTGACTATGTGGGTCACATGACCAGAAAACAGTGTCATAAATCAAAGCAGTCTTCTCTTTGTGTCTGTTTAGCCCTCTGTACAGGGTTTGGAAATGTGGCACACTGAGGGGACACTCAGAACACGCATGCTTCTGAAACCTGGAGGCAA